CACCTCGGTAGGTGGTTTATTTTTGCTGCGGCGTTTTGGGCGGAAGGGCCAAATCGGGGACAAGTGTGCAACGCTTCCCAGATGTTGCGGTGGGATTGCGCCCGTTTGCTGCGCCCCTGATCCGGCCCTCTCCCGGCCCAAAACCTCTCTTGTGACCGGGGCCTGATTTATTCAACAGCCAAATAGCTCACTCACAACTTTAATGTCAGTAGCTCACAAAGTGGAATTTTTGCTCACAAGACTCCACAGCTTAGAGGGAGCATTGGTGGCCAGGCGCACCCAATGAAACATCCAAGTCGTGTCCCTGACCGGGAGAACCCAGATGAGCTTGTCAGAGCTCGGAAGCTAAGCAGGGTCGACTCTGGCAAGTCCTTGGATGGGAGACATCCTTGGAATACCAGCAGTCGGGAGGTAGGGGCAGGCTTTATCCAGCCACCTCTCTGAATATCCTCCAGGCCCCCAGTAGGGGTCGCTCACCAGAGGTCGCCGTGACTTTCAGGTGCGCGCGCAGACACACACGCACATATTTTTACAAATACACAAAAAATACCAAAAAAGAAAAGAAAAATCCCAGCTGTGTCAATGCTTGTGGAATGAAATTTTCTTTCAAGCAAACCATCACAATGAGGAAAGACAACCCCACCCCTGCGCAAGATGTCTTGTGGAAAATTCTCAGCCTTCTGTGCACTGGGAATTCAGCCAAGCTGAAAACAACGAGACTGACTTTCAAAACATGAATAAGTGTTTGCTGGCCTTGTTACAAAAGGCAACTGCATTTCCTGAAAGAACAAAGCAAGAGGGAGGGGCGGCGTGTGCCTGAATAAACATCCCTGAAGTTTGCGCCTGCGATAAGAAGACCCCCACAGGCCCTCAATGAGGGATTTACTCAGCTGGCCCAGGACTCAAGTTGCTAGACCTCAATGAGGAGGTCACCTCTCCAGCTTTTCCCCAGTCATGTAAAAGTAAAGGTTTCCCTTGCTCAGAAGCCAGTCGAATCCAACTCTAGGGTTGCAGTGCTCATCTCCGTTTCCAAGCCGAAGAGTCAGCGCTGTCTGAAGACGTTTCTGTGGTCATGTGGCCGGCATGACTAAACACCAAGGCACACGGATACCCTTTCCCAAATAGGGATTGCTCTCTGCTGCAGCCACCAGGCTACTAGTTAGGGTTTACAATGTATGAATCATACAACTGTGATGAAGAAGCATTCACAATTATTTATCTAAAGATGTTATACAAAACATTAATTTCGGAATGTGATTATTACAAGAGATAACACAATAGAAACAGAAGCGAAAAGGCGGGACGGTGGTCTCCGGATTAGTGCTGCCGTTTCGACAAGGTGTCTTCTTCTGACCAAAAATTGTGCCAGTCAATGCCAAGTATGGAGTTCCTCAAGCAACAAAAAGCTGCATACTCACGATTTTTCTAACTCTTATAGCTTGAGAAGCAACATCTCTTATCTTAGGAAAAAGTTCTCCCAAAAGGGCTGAAGTCAAAATATCTGGAGACTTTGGGGATGGATCCGGGAGAGGGCGGGGTTTGGGGAGAGGAGGGGCCTCCTCACAGCCATGGGGTGCCCAGGCAAGCCAAGGGAAGGCGTGGGGGTGTGGCCTAATAGGCTAGTGAGCTGTGCTGTCAGGGGTGTGGCCTAATAGGCTAATAGGTTTCTGCTGTTGGGTGTGGCCTGTTATGCTAATGAGTTCCTGCTGGGCTTTTTCTACATTTCCCCTTATTTTATGCCATATTTAAAGAAAAGAGTTGCCAACCTCCACGTGGTGGCTGGAGAGCTCCTGCTATGATCAATCTCCAGGAAACAGGGGTCCGGTCAACCTGGAGAAGATGGCCACTGTGAAAGTCCTTTTCTCCCTTTCTCACAATACAAGCACTCCTTGTGGGCACTCCATGAAATTGATGAGCAGTCGGGTTAGAACGGATAAAAGGAAGTCCTCCTTCACCCAAAGAGAAGAGGAGAGAGAAGATTGGATTTATACCCCGCCCTTCATTACCCGAAGGAGTCTCAGAGCAGTTTAAAATCTCCTTTCCCTTCCCCTCCCCTCCCCACAACAGACACCCTGTGAGGTAGGCGGGGCCTGGGAACTGCCCTTGAGAGAACAGCTCTGAAAGAGCTTTTAACTGACCCAAGGTCACTCCAGCAGCTGCATGTGGAGGAGCGGGGAATCAAACCCAGTTCTCCCAGACTGGAGTCCATGCTCCTAACCACTACACCAAACTGGCTCATTAAAACGTGGAATTCACCGTCACAGGAAGTGGTGGTGGCTACAAACTTCAAGAGGGGATTGGAGAAACATCTAGAGCAGAGGTCCATCAGTGGCTATTAGCCACAAGGTATAGATAGGAATTCTCGGTCTGGGGCAAGGGATGCTCTGTCTTCTTGGTGCTTGGGGGGGGGCAACAGTGGGAGGGCTTCTGGAGTACTGGCCCCACTGGTGGACCTCCTGATGGCACCTAGGTTTTGGCCACTGCATGGCACATAGTGTTGGACTGGCTGGGCCATTGGCCTGACCCAACACGGCTTCTCTTATGTTCTTATGATCACCGTGGAAGGAGGGGGAAACTTTGCAAATCTGACGTTAGAAATATTCCCAGTTAGGCAGGATCTGCCTCTTATACCTTGATAAGCAATCGCCAAAGCATGAGGGCTTTGTCCACAGTTTAGGAAGGGCAGCCTCCAGGTGCAACAGAATTTTTTTTATTTTTAAGAATATGAGCAATCTATGGATACAATGAGTAACAGCATGAAAAGCAAGAAACTCCTAGCACTGGAGCACAGGAAAAATCAAATCGGTCTATACGTGCGATCCTCTTTTCCGACGTCTAAAACTTATCTCTGTGATGTTGAAGGGAGGGGCAGAAATATGTCCAGGTTCTGGATATACTTCTATGGTAATCAAAAGTGTACAATACATTAGAATTCAGCACGACATGCAAATGGTACAAGTGAAAGCAAATGAACAACGGAGTACTAAATTGAAACAAATAAACAATGAAGTTCTAAACAGAAAAGCAATAAAGTTCTTAAGCAAGTAAACAATAAAGTTCTAACGAAGATCCTGGGTATGAGCTTTGTTTCGGCTGTCTTCTTCAAAGATCTATTTATGCTAACAGGGGAAAAATAGTATTAATACAATATAGTACAAAATAACAAAGTTGGACTACAGTATATGACTATATATCAATGATAGCTGGTCACCTATCTTCAGATTATATGCCAGTGTGTCTCCTTCAGAGACCCCAAAATGTCTGCACTCCATTACTGTCGAAAAAAGTCTCCTTCTGTTTCCCTTCAAAGGATCCCTCCCTGAGATAAAAGGAGAGCTTCTTTTCCCCATGAGGCCCCCAACAGGGTTACCAGTTCTGGAGGTGGACTTTGGGGAGGGACCTCAGTTGGGTACAATGCCATTGAGAGTCCACCGAAGCAGTCATTTTCTCCAGGGGGACTGATCCCTGTAGTCTGTAAATCAGTAGTAATTCTGAGAGATCTCCAGGTCCCACCTAGAGTTTGGGAACCATAACCACCAAAACCTCTCCCATCGGAAACTCACCAGCTGGCAAAATTCCAATGCCTCTGGTAGGGTTGCCAGGTTCCAGGGGGTAGCTGGAGATCTCCCAGAATCAGAATTTATCCCCAGGGTACCTGGAGAATCCATTTGAGTTTAACCTCTGAGCATTCATAGAGGTAAACCCAACATTCTCAATGCAAAGCCAAAAAGGGAAGGAAGGAAGTGTCGGAAACGTATGGGTTGCAAGGTCTCAGATTCCAGCCATTATAGGGTTAACTTGTTTACCTTTCTATACTATTGTTTAGACTGACCTGGAAGGGAAATCTGGCAGACAGCCAATGCAAGAAAAGCCCGCAAATGTTAATAGTATTGATTGGTTACTGGTTTCAGGTGACTTTGTTTCTAGGGGTCAAGAAGAAGGAGAGTCTCCATTGTTGTGTACTTGTTGTGTGGCCATGCTTTCTAGAAGTAGGATGTGAAAATGTAACTCTAGACATGTTTGTTACTTTGTAGGTTTCCTGTGTACCTTTTACCCTTAGAAATAAAGCCTTTTGAAACAGAAAGAAATGTCTCCTCTCCAGTAAAGCAAAGATCCATTGCAAACTCTGAGTATTTAAGTATTTTTGACTATTTTCCCCAACAGGAAGGGAGGGAGGGAGGGGAGGGGGAGGAGAGGGGGATGGGAGGAGAGGGGGAGGGAGAGATTGGATTTATACCCCGCCCTTCACTCGGAGTCTCAGAGCAGCTTCCAATCTCCTTTCCCTTTCCCTCCCCATAACAAGTACCCTGTGAGGTAGGTGGGGCTGAGAGAGCTCTTTCCAGAACTGCTCCTGAGAGAACAGCTCAGAGACAACTTGTGGCTTGCCCGAGGTCATCCAGCAGCTGCAAGTGGAGGAGTGGGGAATCAAGCCTGGTTCTCCCTGATTAAAGTCTGCACTTAACCACTCCACCAAACTGGCTCTGGAAGGTGAATGTCCCATCTCTCCTGTACTAATCCCTCCTTTTACCATCTGAGGAACCACTTAAGACCAAAAATGGCAGCAGTAATAACTGCCAAAAGACTGGCAGTAAAAACAAGAACACCACAACAGGTAACACAAGAAGATGTGGAACTTGAATGTTGTCTCAATGACATAGTTGTACATTGGTTACTAATGGTCCAGCGATGCACTGGATGTTGGGGCTCCCCGTACTGCATTGCCCCTTGAGGCCTCCCATGATGCACTTCGTCTTCAGGCTGCCCATGATGCATTTTGAGCAGACCCATTTGGCACGCTTCACACTGTGGGCGCTGTAGCTCATCGTGATCCATGTCCCATAGCACCTCAGAGAGCTCGCTGCGGTCAACGTATTCCCGGTAGCATTTCTCCCGGATGTCGAGGATCAGGTGATGTATAACGCCGGCGACATCCGTCTCGGTGAACTGGGCCTCTTCATACTTCTTGGAAGAACATTTGTAGCACTTTTGCCTAAAGGGCCTCATTCTGACCCGTCCTCGCCTTCCCTGTCGCTCCCAATGCACATGGAACAGGATAATGACTTGATGTGAAGACCAGCAGAGGTGGCATTGTGAACATGTAAACCTAAGAAGGAGAGAGAAGTCAGGGAAGAGGATCTTCACATGAACAAAAAAGCAAACTGGTCTCTCTTGAACGGGTTACTCCAAAACACCTGCCACTTATTTCCGTACTGGGCCACTTGTTTTCGTACCGTTCACACATACTTCATGGTCAGGAATTCATGTCCCATATTCTCCCCACGAGGAGAACTGTCAGACTGAAGTTGTGCAAACTTCAGTCTCAACACCACTAAAAATGCTGCAAGGGCCCAATCTGCACCATCTTGGCACCTGGGGGTCTTGTTCTGCCCCCCGTGCCTTTTCAAGCACCACAACAGCAGAACGGGGCTTTTTTTTAGCAACTTAAAAGCCAATGGGGATGATCCCCTGATCCTGCCGGACCACGGGCCTGAACAGAATTGGGTCCTTGCATCTTTTTAATGTGCTCAAATTCAGCCCTAAAATGGTGTTGCCATCCACGGGTCATACCCATGGATGCTGTAACCTCTAGTTTAGCCCTAAGACAGGGAAGTAAGAAATGCTCCCTCTAAGCTGTGAGCAGAAATTCTACCCTGTGAGCTACTGGCATTGAAGTTATGAGCGAGTGATTTGGCCACTGCACAAATTAGTTTGCTCTGGAGCCCCATCCTTCCTGAGCGAAGACAAAACAGTGTGAGCCGGAGGCTAAACAACTGTGAGCTAGCTCACACTCACTCAGCTTAGAGGGAACACTGGACAGCAACTGTCTAGGCTAGGACGGAGACAGATTGGACAGAGTATTTCTTGGCCTCATGTCAGTGAGAGAGAGAAGGAGCAAGAAGAGTTAGCCAGGAGGAAGGTAACTCTCAGAGTTATCTAGCTTGCTAGATCCACTGTTCTTTCTAAAATACCACTGGGCTTGGTACAAAGAGGCACCGTACAGTCCTTCTGTTCCAACAGAGAAGAACCCGCTATGGAACAAGTCACACGGACAGTTAAGAAGTAGTAGGGTCCCTACGAATTGTTATAAGCAAGAACTCTACAAGTATATTGTGATATTAAAACTAATTGTACTAACATTTTTACTAGCAGTGAAAAGATCTCCTCCTCTTGGGGTTTTAGTTTAGTGTGGTTTGCTTTCCTTTATCCTTAGTTGTAGTCCCTTCCCTAATATTTCTTTGTAGTTTTTGTAGTATTTGCAAAATAAAAAAATATCCGGGGATTTTTTATTTATTTTTTTAAAGAAGAAGTAGTAGGGTCCCCATGGCTGGGATGGAAAATACCTTTGGGGGTGGAGCCGGGAGAGGGCGGGGTTTGGGGAGGCAAGGGGAGGGGCCTCCGCATGGTCCACTGCCACAGAGTCCACCCTTCCAAGCAGCCATTTTCTCCAGGGGAGCTGATCTCTGTCAGCTGGAGATCAGTTGCAAAAGCGGAAGATCTCGAGGCCCCACCTGGAGGCTGGCAACCCTAATAAGTAGAGGAACACAAGCCTCTTTAAGGGGGACTCATCAGTAAACTCATTTTCAGTTGTGTGACAAACAGGCACAATCAGAGGGAGGTGGGGGCTGTGGCTCAGTGGCGGAGCACACCTGTCAGTGTATCGCTCTGGTTTTTATCCCAGCCGTCTTCCAAGGAGCTCACGGTGCCCGTTTTGCACGCCACAGTCCCCAAAGTCCCGCGTTCAAGCCCCACCATCTCTAGTTCAAGCAGGGGTCTGCAGACACTAAATGAACATAAGAACATAAGAGATGCCAATGTTGGATCAGGCCAAAGGCCCATCCAGTCCAACACTCTGTGTCACACAGTGGCCAAAAATACCAGGTGCCATCTGGAGGTCCAGCAGTGGAGCCAGGACACTAGAAGCCCTCCCACTGTTGACCCCCACACACAAGCACCAAGAAGACAGAGCATCACTTGCCCCAGAGCCCCTATCTATCCCTTGTGGCTAATAGCCACTGATGGACCTCTGCTCCATATGCTTATCTAAGTAGCACCTCCCTGCGAAGTAGGGTTGTCAGCCTCTAGGTGGAGCAAGGGGACCGCAGCGCCGAGCAAAAGTCATTTATTTATTTTGAACGGTTTCTTATCTGCCTTCCTTATGGAGCTCAAGGCAACTTAGGACCAGCGTTCCCTCTAAGCTGAGTTAGTGCGAGCCAGCTCACAGTTTTTAAGCCTCCGGCTCACACATTTTTGTCTCGGCTCAGGAAGGAGGGCTCCAGGGCAAACTAGTTGATGAAGTAGCCAAATCTCTCTCGCTCACAGCTTTAATGCCAGTCGCTCACAAAGTTGGAATGTTTGCTCACAAGACTCCACAGCTTAGAAGGAGCACTGCTCACAGGGTGTCTGTCGTGGGGAGGGGAAGGGAAAGGAGTTTGCAAGCTGCTCTGAGCTTAGAGGGAGCGTTGTTTACAACATAGACCAGGGGTGGCCAAACTGTAGCTCAGGAGCCACATGCGGCTCTTTCCCACACATTGTGTGGCTCCTGGCAGGGCGGCTGGGGAAGTGAAGGGGAGGCGTGCCTCCCTGATCGGTCTTCCCTTCCCCAGCCAGTGTTCCCCTCTGTGGGTAGGCTTGAGGTGGGGTGGAGCAGAGAAAGAAAGTAACTTTAACTTTAAATGCGTTCTCAAAGCCCCCCCCACAAGCTTGCAAATACCATTGGACAAATAAATATCATCATCAATATCTGTTTTTACCCTTCTGTTTTTATTTGTGGCAGTCTCGTTTAATGTTAATGAAAAGCAAATCTGCATATTTTTTCAATTAAAAACATGTCTGTAAATGTTTGTTCGACTGCAGTGGCTCAAGTGGTTAAGACACTGAACTGCAGGCCGGAAGGTCGGCAGTTCGGCAGTTCGAGACCCGAGTGTCGCGTGACGGAGTGAGCTCCAGTGTCTGGCCTCAGCTCCTGCCAACCTAGCAGTTCGAAAGCAAGAAATTGCAAGTAGACGAATAGGCACTGCTTCGGTGGGAAGGTAACAGCGTTCCGTGCGCCTCGGCGTCTCGTCATGCCGGCCACATGACCATGGAGAAGTCTTCGGACAGCGCTGGCTCTTCGGCTTGGAAACGGAGATGAGCACCGCAACCCTAGAGTCGGATTCGACTGGCTTTTGAGCAAGGGAAACCTTTATCTAATCTTTGTTCATGTCATGCGGCTCTCAAGCATCTGGCGTTTATTCTCTGTGGCTCTTACGTTAAGCAAGTTTGGCCACCCCTGACATATAGTGCAGAAAAGGGCAACTCAAATGATAAAAGGGTTGGAACACTTTCCCTTTGAGGAAAGGTTAAAGCGCTTAGGGCTCTTTAGCTTGGAGAAAAGACGACTGAGGGGTGACATGATTGAGGTTTACAAGATTATGTATGGGAAAGAGCAGGTAGAGAAAGAGGTACTTTTCTCCCTTTCTCACAGTACAAGAACTCGTGGGCACTCCAAGAAATTGCTGAGCGGTCAGGTGAGAACGGATAAAAGGAAGTACTTCTTCACCCAAAGAGTGATTAACACTTGGAATTCACTGCCACAGGAGGTGGCGGCGGCTACAAGCATGGACGGCTTCAAAAGGGAATTAGATAAGCATATGGAGCAGAGGTCCATCAGTGGCTATTAGCCACAAGGTATAGATAGGGGCTCTGGGGCATGGGATGCTCTGTATTCTTGCTGCTGGGGGGGGCAACAGTGGGAGGGCTTCTAATGTCCTGGCCCCACTGCTGGACCTCCTGATGGCACTGGTATTTTTGGCCACTGTGTGACAGAGTGTTGGACTGGATGGGCCTTTGGCCTGATCCAACATTGGCATCTCTTATGTTATGTTCTTATAGACGGAATACTTAAAGTACATAAAAATACATAAAACCAGAATTTTAAAACCACATTTTAGGACTGCTTTAATTAGGGTTGCCAAATAGAAAAAACTTACCGGCGGGGGAGCTTCCAATCGCTCCGGGAGCTGACCGGGGATGTTTGTGCGCACGACTCTTTGTTTTCCCCTCAAATGGCGTCGCCCCGCCCCCAGCGTGCGACGTCACTTCCGGGTGACGCACACACGGGGGTGGGGGTTCCCCCGGGCCCCGATTCCGCGGGAGCGGGAATCGGGGCTCGAAACCGGGGGGAATTCCGCCCCCCAGGGGGATTTGGGAACCCTAGCTTTAATTAATCAAGTGCAGTCCTGAATAAAAACCTTCTCCAACTGCCTCCTAAAGATTCAGAATGAGAGGGGACAGACACACCTCCCTGGGGAGATGGTTCCATATTCGTGGGGCTGCCCCCGAAAAGGCCCTGTCATGTATCCACCAAATGAGCTTCTTGGATTAATGGGACAGTCAGGATGGCGTCTCCTCCCCTCTCCCCCTACCTCTCTCACGCTCTTTCTCCCTTTTGCCTCCCCTTTCTTAATCTCACTCTCTCTCCCCTCCATGTATGTTACTTCCTCTCTCTTTCTGTCCCGTTGTTTTCCTGCCTCCCCACCTGTCAGAATCAGATTCTTGCATGGGTCAGAGGTCATATGCAGTGCAAGAGTGTCCAGATGGGTGACATGTGTAAATGTGCCTTACTGATGTTACAGAGCTCTCGTTCTTGTTTTCGCTACTGCAGCTGATATTTCCCCCGCTTTGCTTTTCCCATGCAGTCCGCTGTTCATAGATCATTTGCTATGAGTCTCCTATTATCTGCAAGGATCCTCCCTTGACATTCCAGAGGGGGAGAACAGGAGACCTGAGTGTATGACTGTTAGAGGTAGTGCGCTATGTAACTCTTTGGAAGATGCCTCCTCCGACTGAGGCCGGTGAATGTTAGCATTTCAGATTCCTCACGACCTTCGATGGAAGTATACTGATAAAGGTTCTCACAATACTTATTATGTTATCATTACCTCTAGTATACCCCACTTTTCTGTACCCAAAGGAGTCTCTAAGGCTGTGGTCGCACAGCAAGCGTACCACGATTTGTTCCCACTGTAGATTTGATCGGGGATATTTTTAAGCGGGTTCAGACAATCACACATCCTTTACCCAACCACTTGCATTTGTGCGACAAGGCTCCAAGCACCGGCCAGC